GGCGACTTCATCCTAAATGTCAGCGAGATAAAGTATCTAATGCCATATTTTCACGGAACCAACACTTGAAATGTGTGCAACAACCGTGAGATAGAACCGCACCTCGCCAGTCAGGCCAATAATCACGTTGCCTTCACTGACAAAACAGGCTGCTGTAGAACAGCTCTCACACCCAACATGTCAATAATGATGCATTTAATTAAAAGACTACTTACACAAACACACAACCCACATGAAACATAATGGTGCCGCTGTCTTAGGTTAGTAAATAGGGGATCATTGGCTCACTGTACACTTAACACATATTGAAAACATCTCTAATCCACCTTCGTGTGGAAGGCTTATTAAAATAAGGCATTGTTCCCTTCAACTTCTCCACATGACTCTGAAATAGGTCTCCTCACATATGCTTGGTAACATTTGAGTTTCCAATGAAGCTATACTGTGGAGGCGATTCTTTTAGTATCCATAAACACCACAGTCTGCCTCCAGCAGCGAGACAATAACAATCAAAGTGCATCTAACGTCCCTGAGGAACGCACAGAAAGAGGAACAGGGAGAGAGGGAGAACTTAGACTGCAGTAATTACCTCTAAACCTTTTATCTGCATCCAAGGAATCTTATTATTCAATTACTGGGACCGGAGTGCCGACTGTCAGCTGGAGGTCCCCCACGCCCCCCCCCCCCCCTCTCCTCCCTCTCTTTCCAACATAGCTTTGAAAATCAACGGCATTCATAAGCAATATATTCCCTCGTGCCTCAAGCATGAGCTAATGTAACAGCAAACACACACACACACACACACACACAAAGCTTACAAGACCAACTGCGTAAAAGGAACCCACTCTATTGTTCCTATTAAATCCAATCTGGAGGGGTGAGACAGGAGGGTTAGTGTGAGCAAATGGCCGAGAGTGCCCGGGAGTGAGGCAGAGGGCTCCAACGATTAATGCATTACATTAAATCCCTCACACAGACGGGGTCTCTCGTGGCGGACGATTCACGGGGGGAGATAACAGCGGTCTGAAGAGCTTTCCTTCCTTCATCTTTAGAACTGTTCTGCGTTCATCTGGAGGTTAAATATAGCATGTTGATGTATGTAGAGAGAACGAGAGGAGACATCTGTGACGGTATCAGAGAGAGCAGCCAGCGGCTAGAAACAAAAGGTGCTAAACAGGTCCATATAGGGTTCTTCTCATAGGATAACCCATTTTGGTTCCTGTTAGAACTTAGGGTCTACCGTGAAGGCAACATAAAAGGTTATACCTAGAACCACATGTGAAAGGTTTCACCCAGAACCCCTTATAAGAGTTTCTGCAGAGAACCCTTCTTTGGTGTAATGGTTCCACCCAGAACTCTCTCTGGAGGTTCTATCCAAAACCTTTCCACCTTCTTAGGATGCAAACAAGAACCCACCCATGGGGTTCAACACGAACCCTTTTATATTCCAAGGGTTTCATCTAGAACCAAACCAGGGGTTTCTGCCTAGAACCTTTCTATATTCCAAGGGTTTCGTGTAGAACCCTAGAGCCTGAAAGACCTGATGTGGTGCAGATGTGGTGCAACCTACAACAATCTCGGTTCACATCAACAGTTTTTTGGGGGGGGGTGGTTCTGTATTGTGTGCGTTCTCTTTTTAACCCTTAGTCTCACAAAGAACTTTTGAAAAAGCCTTTCTAAAAATAAAAAAAGGTTCTTCCACAGCAAATGGTTCTGGGTAGAACCTCAGCCGTTCAGGAAGAACCCGTTTGGAACCTTTTATTTCTAAGAGTGTAAGCAGCTTTCAGCATTGTGCTTTTCCTCAGTAAAACAGACGGGAGGGCCGACTAATCCTCCACAGCGTAGCTACAGATCTTCACAGAGTGGTCGTGTTTCCTCACTGGGAGGTGGATCGGGTGTCGGTCCACGTTAGCGACAGATGAATCTCAAACCTGTAAAAGCTCTCCGGCTCTGGCAACTGGCCAAACACCGAACATACACATATAAACCCCGGCAGTCAGGCCCACTTACACAGATGAAAAGTGAATCTAATTGAATACTCCTATGGATGGATGGAGCAAGTTCGAGAGAGAGAGAGAGAGAGAGAGAGAGAGAGAGAGAGAGAGAGAGAG